TGTAGAACTCTGAGACAGGATTATTGCAAGGCAATAGGACAGTGGTCTCCATAGTTTTCAAATGGAAGAAGTTTGGCACAGTCAGGTCTCTTCCAAGAGCTGATCACCTGGCCTGACTGAGCAATCTGAGGAAAAGGGCCTTGGTAAGAGCGGTGACCAAGAACCCAATGGTCACTGACTGAGCTCCAGAGATTCTGTATGGAGATAGGACAAAGTTTCAAAAGGACAGCCATCGCTACAACCCTCCACCAATCTGGGCTTTATGGCAAAGTGGCTAGACTGAAGCCTCTCCTCAGTGCAACACATATGAAAGCCCACTTGGGGTTTGGAAAAACAGCTTTGCCTGAAAAAAAAAAAAAATAAACAGAACTAAATATTCCAAACAAACATATTTTATTATTGTTCTAGTGCACCTCAACAAATCTAAACACACCCTCTGGTTAGGAAACGTCTAAACATTTAACCCATACATGCAGCCTTTTTTTAAAAAATCTGATCTTATAAAAATCTAGGGGAAGTAAAAACAGAAAATTTCACACACCCAGAGACTGACCGCAGCTATTTCTCCAAATCTTTCTCCAAGCTTCTTTTTCCACCTGTCATTTTCCGGACCTGGGATTTTCCCAAACCTCATCCAAAATGTTGTACACCACCACCTCCACCAGAAGTATTTTTTCTGAGTGGAAGGCTGACACTATGCATTCCACATGTAATAACTGACTAGAAAAAGTTTTTTTTTTTTTTTTTTTTTTCAATCAAAATCTCGATGAGTCTGAAAAGCCCTGTATGCCCAATCCGCATAACTTGTGGGGGAAAGGAAAGGGATACCCAAAACCCCACCGACTCACTTATAGACCTCTATATTGAAGGGGCACTAAAGCAAGAAATGGTCCACTGTCCTAACCACATTACACTCTTGAACAACCACAGTTCTCCACAGAGCAATGCCTCAGGTTGACTCTCACATAGTCTGCCATGGAACAAGAGCTCCTTGCAGGGGTGCATATGACCAGACTCTGGATGTCCGCGTCACAGCACTACCTTGGTCTGGACCACCTTCTGGGTGCTAGAAGTTACCTTGGGGTTGTGCACCAGGCTGTCCTCCTTCTGTGGGTCCCATTTCAGAGCCTCAGGACCATGCTTTCCCACCTGACGGCAGTCCTGGAGTCTTGTTTCCTGGGTGGAGGTGGCGTTAGGGCGTAAGGTGAGCAAGAAGTGACCCCCCCCCACCCTCTTCTGCTTCATCAGATTCTGAATCTGGCTCTGCCGCTGCAATTGCGGGCCTGCCTGCATGTCCTGCTGACTAGGTCCCCTACCATTCCAACAGTGAGGAGTGAGTCCTCTGCTGCTGCCGTTGCACACAAAAAGGCTCTGGTGGACACACTTATTATCTCTGTGCGAGAAACCTTAAAGATGGAGGATGTTTCTGGGGCAGTCGTGGAGGTGTCTGTCCCCTTTGGCACGCTCAAGCCACAGCATGCAGCGAAGGTGTTCCCTTATCCTTATTTTGACAAATTTGGTTACAAGGATTGGGAACGTCCTAAGAGGCCCTTTTGTGGTCCCTAAACGGTTTGCTGTGTATTATCCCTTTGATGAATCTCTTCTGAAGATCTCTTCCGCCTCTTTAGGGCCACCCTGGATGACCTCATAAAAAATCTTACTGGGGGAAGAAAAGTACTTTTTTCTTCCGCAGTCTCAACGGGGAAAGGAAACGCGTCACAAGCACGGTCCTTCTTTTTCTGTACACAAGCTTTTTTGCCCCCTAGATCCATTGATAAGGGTTGCAAACCGTTCAAGGCCCCCTACGGGAGAACCAGTCAACCCTGGACTTCCAAGCCTGGCAAGCCGGCGGACAAGACCTCCCCAGCATGAAGGTCTGCCCCCACCTGTGTCCAGTCTTTGCTGCTTTGCCTCTCTGTGGACCTCCCTGATTTCTGACAAGTGGGTCCACGAGCTGATTCTGTATGGGTACAAAATACAATTCCAGTCTGGTCCTCCAGAGAGGTTTTTTACTTCCAGCTTGCATCTTTCTCTAAGTTGCCTGCAAGCCTTATACGGGGCAGTGCAGGATTTGCGATGTCAAGTGACAATTGTTCCAGTCGCAGATTCAGAACGGTTTCGGGAGTTGTACTCCAACCTGTTTTTTTTACGGTCCCAAAAAAAGGATGGTTTCGCCTGATCCTGGATCTCAAGGCCCTGAACTGTTTTGTGCGTGTGCAGAAGTTTAAGATGGAGTCCATTTGGACAGTGGGGGCCTCCCTTCATCAAGGAAATTTTTTTGGCACCTATCGACATCAAGGATGCCTACCTACACATCCCCATCTCTACTGGACACCAGCATTTCCTTCTGTTTGTGGTAGAAGAGCATTATCTGTTTGTGTTGCTGCCCTTTGCTTTGGTCTCACCTCCACTCTTCGGGTTTTCACCAAGGTGCTGGCTCCTGTCCTGGTTTTGCCCAGAAGGGGGATTGCCGTGATTGGTTATCTGGATGACCTTCTACTGAGGGTGGAGTCTCGCTCTGCCTTGAGGGATGACGTAGCGATTTTGATCAGCACCTTGCAAGAGTTCAAGTGGATTCTGGACATCCAGAGATCCACTCTGATCCCAACCAGGAAGCTGGAGTATTTGGGTCTGACTCTCAACACAGCATTGACCAAGGTGTTCCTTCCTCTGCACAAGCTACAGAAGCTTCAATCGGCGGTTCGCTTGTTGCTGTCCCGCAGGTGGCCCTCCCTTCACTGTTGCATGCAAGTCCTGGGACTGATGGTCTGCCTTTTTGAGGCGGTCCTTTACGCTCCTTTCCATACAAGGATGCTAAATAGGGAAATCCTGTCCACGTGGGACAAGTCCCCTGACTCCTTGGGCACCCAGGTTTGTCTGGGTCAAAAGACCAGGAGGGGAAATCATGTCTTCCCTTGTATTGGACCATGGTCACAACAGAAGCCAGCCCGTTCAGCTGGGGAGGAGTGCTGGGGACAAGCACGGCCCAGGGTCAATGGGTGCTGGAGGAGTCCTGATTACCAATCGGTGTCTTGGAACTTCAGGCGATCAGGTTGTGCCTGGAACAGTGGACGGAACGTCTTCAGGGGCACCCGGTCCAGATCCAGTTGGACAGTGCCACAGCAGTGGCCTATGTCAACCACCAGGGGGGACACTTAGTGTGGCGGCATTGCTAGAGGCCTCCCGCATTCTCAGGTGGGCAGAGCGTCATGTAGCGGCTCTCTCCCGTGCAAATCCCAAACGTGGAAAATTGGCAGTTGGACTATCTCAGCTGTCAAATGTTGGCCCAAGGTGAGTGGTCCCTGCATTCATACGCGTTTCATCAGATTTGCCGGTCGGGCACTCCAGACGTGGATCTCCTGGCATCTTGGTTCAACAGGAAGATGATTCATGGCCAGGACGAGGGATCTGCTTGCAGACGCAATGGATGTCTGAGTTTCCTTCTCTCAAGCTTCTACCCCGGCTGCTGCTGCAAACGATAGAGGCCGGAGGCATTCCGGTTATCTTGGTGACTCCGGATTGGCCTCACCGCCCTTGGTGTGCCAACGTGACACCTACCGCTCAGGGCAGATCTTCTGTTTCTAGGTGTGATCTTCTACCCTGCTTTATGGCCACTGGCTTTAACACCTTGGCTATTGAAAGACAAGTTCTGAGAGACGGAGTCTGTTAGAGGCACGGTAATTCCTAACATGCTGAAGGATTGAACGCCTACTTCTAGGAAGATATACCATTGCACCTGGAAGGCATATATTTCCTGTTGTGAGTCTGCGGGGGTTCATCCTCGTTCTTTTTCGGTGGCTAGAATTTTTCGTCTTTTCTGCAACAGGGTGTTGAGAAGAAGCTGGCGTTAAGTACCATCAAAGGCCAGGTTTCCGCTCTGTTTTCTTTCAACATCCTCTAGCCTCGCACTCTTTGATATGTACTTTTGTTCAAGGAGTTAGGCATGTGATACCTCCTGTTGCCATCATGGGATCTGAATCTGGCTCTCTGTTATCCAATAGCCTCCCTTTGAGAAAATCAGAGATTTCCCTTGCTGTCCCAAAAAGGTGGCCCTTTTAGTTTGGATAAGGAGAGGTGTGGCAGTGCCTTCTGCTACCATTTCTAGATGGATTTGGCAGACAGTGGTTCAAGCTTACGCCATTAAGGGTCAGGTTCCTCCCTTTCCCGTAATGGCACACTTCTTCGGTCGCTTAGTGCCTTTTGGGCCTTCTGTCATCAGGCGTCTGTCTCAAATCTGCAAGGCGGCTACCTGGTCGTCTGTGCACACCTTTACAAAATTTTACAACTTGGATGTCTTGTCATCTTCAGATGCATGTTTTGGCTACAAAGTATTGCAAGCAGCTGTTTAAGGTTTCCGTTCTCTCTTTGGGGGGTTGTTTTCTGGTTGGGCTCTTCTGTTCCTGTTGGCTTGGTTTTGGCCTTTGTTTTTCCCACCCCTCACTGTCTGCCGCGACTTTGGAACGTCCCTATGGTTGAGAATGGAAGACACTGTGTCCGTCAACGAGAGAACAGGATTTTTTTTACTCACTGTAAAATTCCTTTCTCCAAGTTCGTTGACTGACACAGCACCCACCCCTCTGAATTTTTTTTTCTTTGCTTACACTGCTTGTTACTAACTGGATTGCCTATGCAGAGAGGGGGTTTATATCAGCCAGGACTGCCCATAGGCGGTGCCGAGTTGTTTTTTTTTTTTTTTCTGCCTAGTGTTCTATTCCTGTAGGTGGCGATATAACCCTATGGTTGAGAATGGAGGACCTATTTTAATTACGGTAACAAAATCCAGTTTTTTATCAGTTCCTTCATTTTTGCCTTAGTGATAATCAATAGCTTAATTGTTTAAATTTTGCCTTGCTATGAGTAGCTAAATTCATTTTTTTATTGCGTGAGTTATGTCCTCATTTTTTGTCCCCAACCTTCTTTCTGTTACTAGGGTTGGCAGTTTGTGGCTCTTTTGATAAGTGCTTCTAATACAAGAATGTTAACTAGGTCTGTATTAACAGGTTTTGGATGAAGCTGACAGAATGCTAGATATGGGGTTTGAACCCCAAATAATGAAGATACTGCTTGATGTTCGACCCGACAGACAAACTGTAATGACAAGGTAAATTGTGTTTTGATAACCATTGGATTTTTGTGTGTAGAACTGTATATTACATGTTTATGCTAGCTTTTACTATAGAGATGGGTTATCACAAGGAGGTGGCTTTGCTAAGAATTGCCAAGCACATTGGTACTAAGAAGAGGAGAAACAGGTTGATATTCACAAATATGTTTGGTGCTGTAGATACTTGCCAGACCATCATTTGCTGATATCCTTTCACTTTTCTAAAGTTACAAGTGTTCCATGTCCTAGATCATGTAACGCTCACGAGATGCTGCAAAATTGAGTGCTATTAAAGCTAAGCTCCAGGCAAACCGGAAAATTGTATGCAGGAGCTGTTTTAGGGTACATTCACACTTGCAAATGCACCCGCAGCCTGATGACATGTGAGAACCTCAGCAGGTGTTTCCGCGCGATTATCTGCTAGAGGCAACCTCATTGGAAGCAATGGGAAGCTACCTACTCTCGCAGCTTATTCCACCCACTTGTGTGTTATCACTTAAGCAGCAATTGCATGCGAATTATCGGCCCTGGATGCAGGCAGTCTGTCCAGGGCAGATTTACTCTCATGTGAACACTGCTTCAGTGATTACACTCAAATGGACGGAATATCATTGCTTTCAATGGGGCTGCCTGTCACAGCTAGTTGCAGAGCCCCCCACTGAGGTTCTTGCATGTAATTGGGCTGCCGATTCAGTCGTACTGCTGATGAAGCCAGAGAAATGGGTCAGGCTCTTTCAATACCTGGTTTCCCAGCTCCCAAAGGGCACCTATCACACCAGAAACTACACGTGGACTCTGGATGGCTAAACGTTTGGGAATGCATAAACATTTTTATGCTTACGGTGATTGGATGATGCAGTATGCAATATGGATTTCTGGAGCATTAATGTTAATATTCCCCCTGAATGAACACTGTATGGCTGTATTCTCCTAAGTATGCTGTGCTAGTGGTTTCCCAAGCTGCTTAAGCCATGAAGTAGAATTTTATTTGTGGGCTACACTTATTTAATTTGGTGAACTCTGCATTTGCACTGCACCCCAATACATATTAAATGGTATTCATACCCTGGTGTTTTTATAATATGGGGACCCATGGACACTGTTGTTGTTTGATGTGTTACATTGGTGGTACATACAGTATGCCTAGAGTGTTCCTTGGGTACACTATTGAAGAGTAGGTCCTAGTTTTACACAAAGCTCAAATAGAGCGGCAACCAGGTTTAGGGTTTGCAATCCTGCACATATGCACAGAAAGTTTAGGGATTTTCTGGAGATCTAACGAATCAGGTTCTCCTTGGCATACACACAGAATATTGGGGTCAAAGGTAAAAATTGTAACAAAGTAGAGATTTGAGTTGTTTGTCTCAGGAGAAAGTTCATCATGTATTTCTCTGGTCCAATTTGCCATATTTTGGGCAATAACTAAGATGACACTGGTCGGCTGTAGGGCAGGACCTGCTAGGGTAAAGGATGTTTTTAAAGAGTCTCAAAACACCTTTTCACTGAACCTTTAAAGGGGAGGTACCATTAATAGAAATGATAGATCCAGCATTTAGTGCAAGAATGGCCAGGTCCACAGTGGGGATGGACGATTATTTGTTACATCCTATGTCCATAGGATTCAAGGTTTCAAAATTGTCAGAAGGGGGAATAGCATATCAGAGTTTTGCCAGTCACTGTATAAGGCCCAGCTTGCGTGATTCAGAGTAGGAAAATACTTTGTACAGGTATTCCTCTTCTTGGAGCATTTTTTAATATATGGGGCCTGTGTAACACTAGGCCTATCTATCCAGAGACTAGTATGCGTTGCCTCGATCAATGAATCCACAATAACCAACATACGGCAAGAGTGTGAGGAAGATTCCCTAAATAGTCAAGGAAAGCTATCCTGAGATGCCTTAAGCAGAAAATCCACATCTTCCTTGTTTTTTACCACAGCAAGTGTGTCAGGCTATGATCTAGTACAGGGGTGGGCAACTGTGGCCCTCCAGCTGTTGCAAAACTAAAAGTCCCATCATGCCTCTGCCTTTGGGAGTCATGCTTGTAACTGTCAGTTTTGCAATGCCTCATGGGACTTGTAGTTCTACAACAGCTGGAGGGCCACAGTTGCCCACCCCTGATCTATTAGAACTTTAATCGGGGAAAAGTGAGGCTTGCGACTGATGGCCTCCTCTAATTCCATTAGTGACTAATGCCACTGGAATAACATGGTGGCTGTAAATTCAGCCTAAGGCTGGCCATACAATACACAATTTTCTTGTACATTTTTCCTTTAGATTTACCAAAACTATATATAATATAAGGAAAAACCTAAACGTTTTCACTTTGTATGCAATCAGGCATGCCCTTGCACTACATAGTTGAAGGTAAATTTAAAGGAAATTGAATAAGAAAAGTTTTATAATCTATGGCCAAATTTAGTCAGGGTGCATGTAGTGTGCACCTATTAGGGAGCTGGAGTTATGGAATTGGAGCGGGTGTATGTGTTAGACCTTGCTCTGGAGTAAGGGAAATGAGAACAATGTGACAGAAACTTATAACAATATGTGTATATATATCTTCAGATACATATACAGGTGCCGCGCTCCATATATAACAGTAATCATATAAATAGTGCTATGAAAAAACTTAATGTGCTAAAAAAACAGTGCAACATATGGTGCTCAACAAAATAAATGCTGATTAAAGAATAGTCCTCTTTGTACTTTAAATATATTCGGTGACAAATACAGTGCCGTGCCACACTCCCCGTGCTCTATAGATAGATGTGCGCTCGCCTCCTTCTTTAGCCAAACACAGTGGCTAACAGCGCTTTTTGTCCTCTCAGGACTAGGTAGTAATCTTCATATATTATGTATATACAGTCATGGCCGAAATTGTTGGCACCCTTGATATTTTTCCTGAAAATCAAGTATTTCACACAAAAAAGGTATTGCATTAACACATGTTTTGCTATACACATGTTTTTCCCTTTGTATGTATTGGAACAAATATAAAACAGAGGCAGAAAAGCAAATATGACATAATGTCACACAAAACCCCAAAAATGGGCTGGACAAAAGTATTGGCACCCTTAACTTAATATTTGGTTGCACACCCTTTGGAAAACATAACTGAAATCAGTCGCTTCCTATAACCATCAATAAGCTTCTGACACCTCTCACCCGGAATTTTGGACCACTCTTCCTTTGCAAACAGCTCCAGGTCTCTCTTATTGGAAGGACACCTTTTCCCAACAGCAATTTTAAGATCTCTCCACAGGTGTTCAATGGGATTTAGATCTGGGCTCATTGCTGGCCACTTCAGAACTCTCCAGCGCTTCTTTGCCATCCATTTCTGAGTGCTTTTTGACGTATGTTTGGGGTCATTGTCCTGCTGGAAGACCCAGGATCTTGGACGCAAACCCAGCTTTCTGACACTGGGCCCTACAGTGCGACCCAAAATCCTTTGGTAATCCTCAGATTTCATGATGCCTTGCACACAGTCAAGGCACCCAGTGCCAGAGGCAGCAAACAACCCCAAAACATCATTGAACCTCCACCATATTTTACCGTAGGTACTGTGTTTTGTTCTTTGTAGGCCTCATTCCGTTTTCGGTAAACAGTAGAATGATGTGCTTTACCGAAAAGCTCTATCTTGGTCTCATCTGTCCACAAGACGTTTTCCCAGAAGGCTTTTGGCTTACTCAAGTACATTTTGGCAAACTGTAGTCTTGCTTTTTTATGTCTCTGTGTCAGCAGTGGGGTCCTCCTGGGTCTCCTGCCATAGCGTTTCATTTCATTTAAATGTCGACGGATAGTTCGCGCTGACACTGATGCTCCCTGAGCCTGCAGGACAGCTTGAATGTCTTTGGAACATGTTTGGGGCTGCTTATCCACCATCCGGACTATTCTGCGTTGCAATCTTTCATCAATTTTCCTCATCCGTCCACGACCAGGGAGATTAGCTACAGTGCCATGGGTTGCAAACTTCTTGATAATGTTGCGCACTGTGGACAAAGGCAATCTAGTTCTCTGGAGATGGACTTGTAACCTTGAGATTGTTGATATTTTGCCACAATTTTGGTTCTCAGGTCCTCAGACAGTTCTCGTCTCCTCTTTCTGTTGTCCATGCTTAGTGTGGCACAGACAGACACACAATGCAAAGGTTAAGTGAACGTCTCTCCTTTTTATCTGCTTTCAGGTGTGATTTCTATATTGCCCACACCTGTTACTTGCCCCAGGTGAGTTTACAGGAGCATCACATGCTTGTAACATTCTTATTTATCCGCAGTTGTGAAAGGGTGCCAATACTTTTGTCCAGCCCATTTTTGGAGGTTTGTGTGACATTATGTCGAAATTTGCTTTCTTTCCTCCCTTTTTTTGTTTTGTCCCAATACACACAAAGGGAATAAACATGTGTATAGCAAAACATGTGTTAATGCAATACGTTTCGTGAGAAATACATGATTTCCTGGAGAAATATCAAGGGTGCCAACAATTTCGGCCATGACTGTATACCATCCATGCCATGGATCTATATTGCCTTTTTCCTGCCACCAGAGGTCTCCCTTTTTCCTCCTTCCACTCTGAGCCTCAATGGATAGTAGGGATGATTATCAGTAGTATTTCCTCCTCCCAGTAAATTGGGATACCATGTAAAAAAGAGCCACAATATAGTGCCTTATCCTTTGTGAGGTTAAGTATTTTATTGTAAATAAGTTGCCACTCACATTGTGCTGTCTCCCACAGAGCTGTATCCAACAGAGCTGTGCCCAGATCCTGTGTTTGTAAATGCCGCTCGTCCACCGCGGCGTCGTGACGTCAGAGCCCCTCCCCTACGCGTTACGCCACAGGGTCACGTGGCTTCATCAGGGGGAAAACAATTGGACGTCACTCCGCCCTGCTATATATATATATATATATATATATATATATATATATATATATATATATATATATATATATTATATATATATATATATGCAGTCGGCGCCATTTTCTTGTAGACCGCATGCG